ATGCCTAATATTTATATTGTGCATATCGGTGCGAAACCTTATTTTATTATAGAGGTACCGTGGAGACTTTAAACATATAATTTTATAAAAAAAACTGCATACAGTGATATTTTAGCCTTTGGGACATATTAAGCCAACCAATTTCCGAATACTTGTGAGATATATGATCAAACTTGCGTATCCCATATATTAGACGTATGACGTGCATGAATTTTGAATCTTTTGAATTCTGCCTGATTCAATACTATCAATGCAGTGGTGATATAAACTATCACAGTAGTTAAATCTAGACAAGACAAGACTTTCACATAATAGGGCTTTTATTTTTCTAGGTAATAAATGCCTACTATTAAACAAGACTTTAAGACTTGAATAAGATTTTTTTAATAAGTTATTGATATGACTTTTAAATCGCAAATCTTTATCAAATATAACGATATTTTTTTTACGTATCTCGAGTCGCTTAGTTTGAATCTTCTGTAGAATTTCCCTAAAAACCTCAGAATTCCACTAGCCTAGGGGAAAAAGTGTTAAGCTCAGTAAAACTTGCTGTATTTTTGGGCAGGAAAACTTATATATTTTCGTATTTTCAGTTCCTGAATTCATATCGGACGTGAAAAATGTTCAGAATTCCCATAGCCTATGGAAAAACGTAGAAAATTGTGCAAAAGTTTCATGCAGGCCTTTTTCGCACGGGAAAGCTGATACCGTGTTCATTTTTGTCCTCAGAATTTTTATCCAGCTTCTCACAATTACCCTAGCCTATGAAAAATGTGCAAATAAAATTTCTTAGGTAACTTTAAAATTATAAAAAAATAGTAAAAAACATGTTGAAAAAATTTCCCTGAAAATGTTGGTGATTACAGTGAGGAACAAGGAGAACGTTTCCACCAAGATATCAAAGAAATGGAGCGACATTATTAGGGATGATGGCAGATTTTTGCTCATTGTTGAAGAGGGATGTTGCAGGTGAAAGCAAAAAAAAGGGGAATCCACCGTCGGACTTTTGACGATAAAAGAACAAGGAAAATACGAACGAACTAATTACCATGCAATTTTTCGTAGGCTAGGGCAATTGTGAGGAGCTGGATTAAAATTTTGATGACAGAAATTAACATGGCAACTCAAAAGGCCTGCAGGAAACTTTGATTTTTCCACAATTTTCTACGTTTTTCCCTAGGCTAGGGAAATTCTGAAGTAATGTGGACATTTTTCACGTCAGATATGAATTCAGGAACTTAAAATAATATATAAGCTTTCTTGCGCAAAAATAGAACCTTCGCAAGTTTTGCTCATCTTAACAATTTTTCCCCTAGGCTAGTGGACTTCTGAGGTACTCTATGGAAATTCCACAGTGAAATTCGAGCTAAGCGACTTAAGATACGTAAAAAACATTATCGTTTTATTTAATATTGCGTATACTTATATATAAAAATTGGTTTTATACACTGTTTAAAATATCTGTAGTGTAAAAAGTAATCTTAAAATGGTGTCAAAATCCAACACCAAGGGTGTTAATTAAACACCATAAATAATGGTTGAAAATGTTATATACAGCAAACACCAAAACGGTGTTTATCTAAAAATATTTGAGAAGGGCACCTACACAGAAAAAAAAAGGAATAGTTCATTTAACTATATTAATTTAGTTGACCCATAAGTGTTTATTTAAATCAACTGTGGGAAGGTTAATATAAACAAAGATTAGTTTGACGGTACTAAACCAGATAGTTATTTTATTTTTTTTAAATTGGTTAAATTAACCCAGAAAACTTTAGTGAAACCAACCCGCTGTATGGTTCAGTTTACTAAATAAGTTGTTTGTAAAATAAGAGTTACAAAGGCGGTGTGGATCACGTGATGTTCTTAAATCTCACCTCTGTTAACTTACATGAAGAGTTTATAAGCTCAGGTAGTCCTTTGCTTTGGTGTGACACTACAAGTTGTTCGATACTAAAGAGACCTTAAATAGGTGGAAACAGCTGTCAATACTTGAAGTATTTTAAGTTGGTGGAATGCACTAAAAACATTATCTCTAGCGAGTTGAAGGTTCAATTTTCTGGAATAATACCAATGGTAATATCCTAGTAATGCGTCAAGGAACTTCCTGTTTCTTTTTTTTTCCTTGTTTTCTGTGTAGCATAATTTAATTTGACCAAAAACTTTATTTAACACTGAAAAGGAGTTTAATTTACACCAGGTAAAATTTATTTTAATACTGTGTGAAAGTTAAATTTACACTATTTTAGTATTTGAATTTACACCGGACCAACGAACCATATTTAACAACATTTTGGTTTGTATCGATATAGACCATGTATGGTGTTAATTTGGTGTTAAAATGGTCATGAAATTTTGAACAGTGTAGGTACTGAAATTTTTGTGATTTCAAGTATTTCCCCTAGGCTAGGGGAAAACTGGGGAGTTCAGGAGAAATTCTGAGACCGGATTCGGATTCAGCGCCTCAAAATCCATAGGGGTTTTTGTTTTTGTGGGCTTGTGTTATTATTAATTAACAGTCGCATATGGAACAGGGGGGTCAGCTGCTGACCCCTGTTCATATTTTTGGCTGTATTTTTTTGTAACTTTAAAATTTTTAAGTGTTGTTTTATGACTTTGTGCTTTAATATATTGTGAACCTATATAAGTCAGTATTTATTTAATTTAATTGTTATAGTGTCAAAAAATCGTAGCAAATCATATAGGCAACTAATATTTCATATAAAATATTAGGTGCATATGTATAATTTGCTACTTTTAGTTATATATTATACATTTATTTCAGGTAGTTGTCAATTGTTTTCGAATAAAGTGAGGTTAGCCATGTGGCTAACCTCACTTTATTCGAAAACAGTGCGACTTTGGTTATTGAAGAATACGTGCTCTTATGTGATTTCCTTTTTGTGTTTATTACATTATTGTTTTTTATTATTTTAAAATTTAATGTATTTTTGTATTTCTTATAGTAACTAAGCAATGAAAAAAGAAATAAGGCCGCGCAGAAACTAAAATACTGGGGTCATTCACTAACCCCCCTGTTCCAGGTTCTCTGGGTACACGTATAGGGTCCACATTAGGGTGATTCATTTCCGCAAAAAACTTTTTTTTTCTCGGCGCTCAAGCAAAATATTAATCTACCTATAGAAAAAAAAAATAGGTAGAGCTCTTAATATCAATTTTAAGTACTTGCAGTTTCAATTTAAAGTTTTCCCATTTAAAATGCATGTAAAAAAAATGTTTTTTTTTCAAATTTCTAATGCTCGCCCGCTCTTTACAATATTGTAAATCGGTTTTATGGACCTTATAGGGAATTTCACGCTCTTCAAAATTGTCTTTGTGTTTTTTTGTGTAACTCGTAGTGGTTCGCCAGTAGGAGTCATCAAAGTTCAATTTTTTGAATAAACATTTTTTTTTGCAGTTTTTTTTAACAATTCGCAAAAAATAGTGAAAAAAAAAAGAGCTGAATCGTAAAAAATAGTCTTTTAACAAATATTTGATGAATTTACGGTCATTTTTATATCTTAAAACGTAAGTAATTGATAAATATTAACCAATTATGCTATTTAAATTAAACTTTCTCTACAACAATAACTTTTCCAGAGTTATTATGATTTTTGACTTATAATAAATATAAAAAAACACATTAATTTATAAAAAAACAACAAATATACAATTGCAACTTAGATTCTGCAATTTTTCAACATTTCCGTAATATAGCAATAAATATAAATGAAGGTTATTCAATTTTTTTAACAAAATTCTTAAATTAACGAAAAAGTAAATTGTTTTTATTGTCAACTTCATTTGCTTCAATATTGTATAAGTAGAAATTGCTATTTGAATAATTGCACTAAATAATATATTGATGGCATATTCGAACATAAGTAAAAAAATAATGATAATTATTTGATTGGGAAAGCAACTGTTACAATTTTATGATTGCTCTAGTTAATTAGTATGACGTTAGCGACTCTATTGTCTTTGTAAACGGGTTTGATGCTTTATGATATACTTAACCCCAAAATGTATTGTTTGTTGTATTTAGTGATTAGTCCGAGAACAAAGTACGAAGTGACTAGGTGCACGTTAGAGTGCCTGCAATTTATTTTTTACGTGCACGCTAGTGACGTAATATATAAAAAAACGTCATCACTGCCGTGCCGCTTAATTTAAAATTGGCGGCACAACAATAATATAATAATAAATTGTACCTGTATACATGTTAAGGGCACGTTAGTTACGTCATAAAATAAAATCTTAATTTGCTTTGTATAAAAGTCGAAATAATTTAATATTTATCAACTTGTTTATTTATGACTATTGAGATTTTTATTAAATTTGCAATATATTATCTAATAATGTAATCTGTTATTTGTTTTGATTAAAGTTTTGTTGTTTTTTTTATGAATTGATGTGTTATGTTTATATTTATTTTTAGTCAGAAATCATAATAACTCTGAAAAAGTTATTGTTGTAGAGAATTGGTTAATATTTATCAATTACTTACGTTTTAAGATATAAAAATGGCCGTAAATTCATCAAATATTTGTTAAAAGACTATTTTTTACGATTCAGCTCTTTTTTCTCTATTTTTTGCGAATTGTTAAAAAAAATTTCAAAACAAAATTTTCATTCAAAAAATTGAACTTTGATTACTCCTACTGGCGAACCACTACGAGTTACACAAAAAACCACAAAGACAATTTTGAAGAGCGTGAAATTCCCTATAAGGTCCATAAAACCGATTCACAATATTGTAAAAAGCGGGCGAGCATTAGAAATTTGAAAAAAAAATATTTTTTTTACATGCATTTTAAATGGGAAAACTTTAAATTTAAACTGCAAGTACTTAAAATTGATATTAAGAGCTCTACCTTGGTGAACATTTTTTTTTCTATAGGTAGATTAATATTTTGCTTGAGCACCGAAAAAAAAAATAACTTTGCGGAAATGAATCACCCTAGTCCACATGCGACTGTTAACCCATCATGAATACACACCTGCTCGTAGTAGGGGTCGTTATTGTCGCTGGCGAGCCGATAGGCGACAGAAGTTGCCATGTGTGCAACGGTGACGATGGTGGCCAGCGCGAGCGCCACGGCCCTCGAGAGTGGCAGCATGGTGTGGATGGCCACCAGCAGGGCAAAAAGAGGAAGTGGTGCGTGCCGCCCGGCAAGCACTAACATCGCTGTCGTCGTCACGCCCGTTATTAGAAGCGACGAAATTAGGGCCCAAGCTTCGGATTCCATGATTATCGGGAATTGGGAGGCCATCAGTATTGAAATCAATGTGAACGCCAATATTGACATCACTATTACCGACTCCAAGCCGTTGTTCAGGTCCTGAAATCAATAAAGGCAGATTAAAATCAAATCCAAGATCAAAACTGATATTAAAAGTCAAATGAAAGATTAACTTTTATGTATATATGGTGTAATAAAAAGATTGGGAATAAATTAAAGGAAATAAAATAGATTTTTTCTAAGGACCTTATATGGGTAGTTATGGTTAACAGTGGGGTATCGGTAATATTGCCAAGGTTTTATAAAGAAAAATTTAGTGCGCCACTAAAAACTTACCTTTTTGTTTATTTTTACCTTGTGTATTTTTTTGTATCTTTTTTTGTTTTTCAGTATTATTTGAAAATATTAGATTTTCCACAGGCTTCAAAGAAAAATTATGGCAACAGGAATATAATCACATTTGTTGTGATCCAAAAAATTAAACAGCATTATCTAATCTAATAAAACAATAGGTCAAATTTCGTTTCCTTATCTTCTAGTGTTCGAAATTAAAAAATAAAAAACTTTTTTAATATCCTGTTAATGGAAACTTCTATAGCTTAATTTCTTATAAAAAAGGGGATTCATTTATTTTTTATGTAAACTATAAAGTAGATTTACATTTATTTTATTTTTATTAAATAAATGCCTTAAAACAGTATAACTTTAGTTTATTCAAAAAAAATTTTGCTTATATTTGGCATAAAGGTTAAAAAAAATTACAAAATTTAGTAAAAAAATAATAAAAATTTAAAATGGTATAAAACCTGTAATTCTTGAAATTTTTTAATAAAATTTAAAATTTATTGATAAACTTCAGTGAATTAAATATTGTACCACTTTAATTTGAATTATCTTAATTTGGGGGGGCAGGAGGCTGGAGGGGCACACTTAAAAACTAACTTTTTTTCGCAAACTTCAATTTAATTTCTGCTTGCGCAGAACTTGTCTGTATAATGTCATTGTAAACTCATATAAATTTGATGTGGGTCCCATGTCTAATAACTGAGATGTGGGTGTGCCCAAAATCCATCAGCCGCCAGTTTTTTAATTTTTTTAATTTAATTTATTATTTTATTTTATTTTATTAATTATTATAATTAATAAAATAAAATAATAAATTTTAATTTAAATTACCTATAATTATTGAAAGTATTTTTGACCAAGAATTATAAGAAATATATATAAAAATTTGTATCCAGTTGTTTTTCATTTTGTGTTACTTTTGACATTGCGACAATAGTTCTGTTAGTTAAAATAAGAGATAGTAGTTACAGGTTAAATGAATATATTATTATAATAACTTTTTTACTAATAGTGTTTTATATTATATTATATCCTAAAAAACCTGTAATTCTTGAATTTTTTTAATAAAATTTGAAATTTATCGATAAACTTCAGTGAATTAAATATTGTACCACTTTAATTTGAATTATCTTAATTTGGGGGGGCAGGAGGCTGGAGGTGCACACTTAAAAACTAACTTTTTTTCGCAAACTTCAATTTAATTTCTGCTTGCGCAGAACTTGTCTGTATAATGTCATTGTAAACTCATATAAATTTGATGTGGGTCCCATGTCTAATAACTGAGATGTGGGTGTGCCCAAAATCCACCAGCCGCCAGTTTTTTAATTTTTTTAATTTAATTTATTATTTTATTTTATTTTATTAATTATTATAATTAATAAAATAAAATAAAATAATAAATTTTAATTTAAATTACCTATAATTATTGAAAGTATTTTTGACCAAGAATTATAAGAAATATATATAAAAATTTGTATCCAGTTGTTTTTCATTTTGTGTAACTTTTGACATTGCGACAATAGTTCTGTTAGTTAAAATAAGAGATAGTAGTTACAGGTTAAATGAATATATTATTATAATAACTTTTTTACTAATAATGTTTTATATTATATTATATATTATAATATATATTAAATATATTATATATTATATATTATTATATTATTATATCCTAAAAAACTAGAAACTAAAAAACTACGGTTTTTATTAATTTAAAATAGACAATATATATATAATTTTAATAAATGTTTAAAATATTTTTTAGATTTTATTTAAATATAGACATTTAAGTATATCTTTATAAAATTCCAAGTCAGATGAGACATAAACTTTTAAGTGACAAAAAATACGTAATAAAACTTATATTCTTGGTTTTAAAAGTTGGGCAATTTTTACCGGTGGTTTTTAAAAACTGTTGGTTAATTGCAATAATACATTATAAATTTTAATTTGTTAATATTCATTATAATTGTCATGAAAGTTTTATAAAAACATATAATATTATTTAGTTTTATTAACTTAATATTAATTAAAGTAAAACACAAAAACACGAAAAAAATAACGTTGTTTTAAAAGGAAATTCTTTGTTTTGTTGGTTTCCGTTTATGAATTTTAACTCCTGCTAAATCTGCTCAATTAATGTGCTTTTTTAACAATATTTTTTTGTTTCTATAAATAATGTTTTTTGATAATTTTTTTTATGATTAATAATATTTTAAAAAATCTACTGAAAAAGTTTTTAATAATAGAAATATAGACTATGGAATTAATGATTCATTTGAGCAAAAAAAGCTCATCAAAACAATTTTACAAATAACAATTAAAAAATACAAGTGACAAATGTTTTAATTGTTAAAATTGTTTTAAATATATCCACAATACTAAGTAGGAAAGGTCAAAAGTTTTTTATTTGTTAAAAACAATTAAAAAATTTGTCCTTTATTACTAACTAGGGTCTAGCTTAGCAGGGCAGTATAGTAATTTATTGCTGTAAAACTAATATTAGTTTTATTTATTTATTTATTTATTTTAAAAGGCTTTCCAACCACTAACCATTCTATTTATTTGAACATAAATATTTATGGGTGACTTGTTCCGTTAAATCAAATCTAATATGTAGACTATCAAAATCTATACGTTTTATATGAAAGTATTTAAAAAACTTTTTATCGTGTTATTAATAAAGGAAATGTCCTCTGAAATATATGACGGTAGCAGCGGTAAAATATTAAGGTTTTGCCAATAACGCCATGGCGAGGTCGTTTGGTGCAGATTCTGCAATAAAGCCAGATTAAAATCGAGCCCGATATCAAAGACGTTAATTAGCTTATTTGCCATTATTGTTCCTGGTAGTTGTAAAAGCTTTACTTAATTACAGATTATATAGAAATTACGTGGATAGTCAAAGGTTATGATTTCTATTTACAATTGTAGAGCCATATTCAATTATTGTCAACATTATGAAATCTAAAGTATTATACTTATTGTATAATAAACCGTATTACATAAAATATAATTAAAAAAGACCATATTATATTATATGTTAAATAAAAAAATATATTTAATAAATATATTCCTCAATTGTATGAAACAATTATTAATAATAATATAATATTGTTTTAAATTAGCCATTTCTTTTTAAATAAATTACATAATTTAGTTTATTATAATGATCATAATCACCACCTGGTGATTTTTTTTAAATAAATACAGTAATTTATAAAGGTTTTATTACTAATTTTTGTTTTAATTTAAATGGACTTTAAATTTTATTATTAAAAAATGTAACAACGTAATAAAAAAATTCTATATCCTTTGTAACGAAGTTACTTTTCCCTACCCCTACCCTGTGTTATAGAATCCCGATTTAAATGATTTAATTCACGTAAGTCATAAACAACCCCGGAATAGCCCATATGTAGCGCTACCACCGGAATGACCCGTATGATAGTCAAAGCGCACAGCAAAAAGTGGCCCGATTGTTTACTTGTGCCCTTCCCCGAAATCCTCTTTTAGCATTTTTATACGAAACTCGACAACGAGAGCACCGTCGAACCATAAAATTTGCCACAAAGCCGTGATTGGCCAATCCTGACATCATGCTTGAGAAGCGCGCAGCCCGCCATAGGAGGGAGACCAGAGGGCATATAAGCGGGAGCAGCGCCTTCGAGAATTACTTCTGCAGCAGCCGTAACGACGAAGAAGTGCCGATCGACCGTCCGACCGCCAAAGATAACGTAAGTTGTTGTAACTAATCTTCCGTTTGTTTGCTTGTTTCAGAAACTCCACTTTTATTTTCGTATTATTCATTGTAAAGTCATATTCAATTTTATTTATAATTTTATTGTTTTGTACATACGAGGGCTTATTTCAATATATGTATTAATCGAACCACACCATTTATTCATAAATTCCCCGGAACCCTGGAATTTTATCTCCACTATTAACCCCAAAAGCTACCCTCGCATATGTGGAACTTGTAAACCACTTTAAATCCATTGAAGTTGGCGCCCGAGATTTTATTAGAAAGCCAGCAAGGTAAGTGACGCCAAGCTTAAAAAGGAAAGTTTTCCCCCGGGAAATAAAACCCTTTTACACCTTAAATAAAGTAAATTAAAGAAAAGAAATAAATTTTAAAACTCATTAAATTGCGTGAAATTGTTTTAGTGCTAAAAACTACTTTAAAAAAATTTTGTTAACAGCTATAAGAACCAACTGTCAATTTATACATAATATTTGTAATATTTACACACAATATTATTAATATTATTTGTCGAATATAAAACTTAACTTATATTGAAAATACACACGAGTCGAATAAGGGTTTTAAATAATAAAAGAGGGCATTTTAGAGAACAATAAATCCTATTTTTTTATTGTTATTGTTTTTTTTTTATAAAAGGTGGTGTATAAAAAAGTGTTTTATTTTATTACATAATCCTAACCGTCGCTTCTCAGCGGGGGCCGCGGAGGCGGCGGACGCTGCTTATAAAATATATATTTACATGCCTTTTTAACATTTTAACTTTTTGTAGTTCTGAAATTTTTACTTTTGATTGAGAAAGAAATTTTAACAGGACTGTCATTCATGTTCTGTATTCAAAAATAATTTTTTCTACTCCCACCTTTAAAACACCCTTTATCGTACATGTTTCTATGACACTAAGAGACCTTTTAAATACACATTGACAAGTTGTGGCTTTATGGCACTTTAGTCACGGGCTGAAGTTAGTTTAAAGTTAGTTGACAGTTGA